CCTGTACATTACAAGGAATAATGAAAAGGTCAGCTCACCTCACTGAAAGCTGTTGTACTAAAACCTGTTTAACAATTTTAACACTCATCCCTTCCAATTTTAATAGTCATTCTTTCTAACTTGCCACTCTTGATAAGAAGGGCTGCCCAAAATTCCCTAATATCATCTTGTGTCTGGCTTTCTTGAACATTTGCATATGTGTGCTTACTCAATACTATTTCTCAACCAAATCAATAAGTTCCAAAAGGATAAGGACCATCTTTGTTTTATTTCCAAGCATATTGTAAGTAACTGAAACAGTAACTGGCATAAAGAAGTTTCAATAAATTATTAGTCATTCTCTTTTTCCTAACTTGCACATAATTTCCTAAGAAATCTAAGAAGGCAGTGCCTTGCCTCAAAATTAATGAAAAAGCTTTGTGTGTGTGTGTGTGTGTTAAAGAAGATATTGCTGAAGACACCAAAAACTGATTCAATAAACCATTTGGAATAATGTTTGTGGTTACTGTATTTACATTTTTACAAATATTACTCATTTTAATGTATCGCTATAATTTATAGATTCATCTTTTTTGTTTTAAAGACTAAGGCATTATTCTACAAATGTATGCATTGATATTATTCATTAAAATGAAAATAATTTCAAAGGAATATTGGGTATTTCAGTAACTATGAGTTTTTATAGTCTCAGATTCAATAAAAACATTCAGCACACTACAAATTAAAAAATAAGGTCAACACAATATTCACAGATAGAATAATAATGTTGTCCTTCAAATATATAAATGGCATCATTGATCCTTCAATAGATACCGTGCTCAGAGTTTTTCCAGCAACAGACGATTAATGTTCACACAAAATGACGTACTTAAATCTTTTCTTTTATTACTAATGGCAAGAATTTCTAATATGAAAGCATATGTTCTCTGTCTAGAAGCATAAAGAAAGTGTGCTAAACAAAATGCTTTCTCAAACTTCAAGTCATGAATTTGGAGTTAACAGTTAAAACTCTGGGGGAGAAAAGGTACACACACACACACAGCAGCAGCAGCAGCAGCAGCAGCAGCAGAATAGCTTGTACTTAAAGGATGAAAAAATGAATTTCAATCTTATCCCACATATTTTAAAGGAGGTATGAAATTTTTCTATTGCTTTTTAACCAATTCACTTATCTTTAGTATCCAACAATCTGCTACCTCAGTAACCCACACCATTTCTCCAAATGAAACCATATCCATGTGACAGAGCTCCTCAAGGCAGAGCTAAAGCTGAGACTTTGAACTGGCACATTAAATTAAATGTTATATCTTGTTTTTCATGCATATATTTACTTTAACTGATGCATATGGATTGAAGACTTGCTGGAGTAGGGTTAGATGTGGGAAAGGGGATGAAAATTTTAACCATAAATGGAGCTCAAACCAAAATAACTTACTTAACTTCAATAGATAATGTCTTGGGTATGAAGCCCACCTCATAATAAGCCCCATTTCCTCTGAGAACTGTTCTTTCAACACCCCTTCCTTGGGGGAGACACTTCCCTGCCACATTTGTGTCAAGTAACCTTACATTTCTGATTTGTTTGTTGAAGTAAAGTTGGATCTGATTCAAACAGAACCAATTGGATTCTTTCACCTGGGAATTTAGAATTATAACATAGATCTAACCTATTTGCAGTAGAGCTGTTTTATATATCATTTAAGAGTGAAATACCCCTGCTATTTCACCATAGAGACAAAGAAATCTCAAAAACAAAAAAGAAACCAAAACAAAGAAGCCCAAAGAAATAGACAGGAAATCATTAGACGAGGCTCCCCATAGTTCCTGTTTTAGTCCTTTTCTGAGGCTCAAGTATTTCCTATACTTTGGATCTCACCCAAAGGTTTACAAAAAAATATATATATTTTTGCACTAAATAGGCAAAATTAGCTTCAATTCATTGAATGAAATTGTCTAACACTAGTAAGAGGATATTAGGAAAAGAGGGATTAAAAAATTGTCTTCAATTTATTGAAATGAAATTATCTAACACTAGTAAGAAGGTATTAGGAGAAGAGGGATTTAAAAAAACATCACACAGAAGGTTCTCAGGAGCTCTGAAATAGCAGAGGGAAAACCCAGTCAAATAAGCTAAACCTAGAACCTATGTGTAGGAAGGCAGAGTGGTTTGGGATGCAGACAGTTACTGATACTTGAAACTGTCCCAATCCTAATTATCTGGATATTTCATGTCCCAAGAAATAAATCATATATTAAAAATCATATATTAAAAAAACTGCATCCTGACACTTCACCAGCTTTTCTGTAGGGAACTCCCACTACCATGTTTGTTCAACACAAATAACGTTAAAGGGAACTAACTGTGTCATCCAGATGTTTATGAATGAAAGTAAACAAAAATCCTATGCAAATTGAAAAATATAAGAGGTTTAATTTGATTCAGAACACTACAAGTACAATTATAATTTTAAGCAATCTTTGATATAGCCACTTCAACAGTTTCACAGAAGACCTGCTGCTCTGACTCTTCATTTTGATTCCTGTAGACTTTGCCTCATCCTTAGTTTCCTTATAGGGAGCACACCAAGAAATTCTAGCCTTAAGTAGCAAAATGGCTGCTGTAATTCAGTCTACACCAAGGAGAAGAGAGAATATATTGAAGGTAGTTCTAATAGAAAGACATAATGTATTTTTCAGAAGACTCAGCAAACTTCACATGTTATTGGCTCTCGCTAGTTTAAAAAACCATACCTGAATGATGACTGTGGCTAAAATATGATGTATGTTGATTGGTTTAAGCTAAGTAGAAGGTCAAGGTTGGGTCAATCCAACTGAAAATCCATGTGTAAGAAATAGCAGCTCAGTTTCAAACCAAAAAATAGTACAGTGTTATGGATGATAGTGACTAGAAAATGGCCAGTGACCACTACAGGAGCAATTGACTTCTTACTTACTTACTTACTTCTTCCTGAGAGAGTGCCAACTCCTATACCACTATATAGTGGAATCCAAACTAATTAGTGGGTACACAAAACACTCTTTGGAATCCCTGAGGATACTTACTGACAATGGGGAAAGAGTTTCTACATTCCTACCAAGAAGCAGGTTTGTTTTGTTTTGAGTTTTTATCATAACACGGATTATTTTGTCAGTTTCATTCTCCTACCCAAATTGCTGGACAGAATTTAAAACAAGAAACTTGGAAGCAACAATTCCTTTTGAAATTTGAGTAAGCATTAATATCTACTAAATTAAACAACAAATATGAATTCAGATCCTTCTACCTCCATGTCTTCAAATATCCCTACATTTAAACATATCTTTACTTATGACCTCAGGAAAATGTGTGTCACTTCTCTGGAAGTTAGATTCAGCACCCTCAGTTCAACCCCTGTTTTATTAGACAAGATTCTCCAGAGAAAAATATCTAATAAATGTTTGTGCATTAGATTCTACATACAGAAAAAGATTTTTTCAACTTTATGAAGTACAAATGACAAAAGTATACATATTCAATGCATACAATGTGATGATTTGATATATATATACATATATATATGTATGTATATATATATATATATATATATATATATATCTTGTGGAATGATTACCATAATCAAATTAATTAATGTATACAGAACCATACTTAGTTATGACTGTATGGTAGAACTGAGGAAATGACAATTAAGACCTACTCTTTTAGCAAATTTCAAGTAAAAATACAGTGTTATTCACTATAATCAACATGTCATATGTTAGAGCCCCAGAATTTATTTATCTTATATTAGAAACATATATCTTTTGACCAGAATCTCCCTATTTCTCTGCTTCTGTGAGGTTAACTTTTTTTTTTTTAGATTCCATAGAGAAGTGAAATCATGCAGTGTCTTTCTGTTCCTGGTTTATTGCACTTGGAATAATATCCTCCAAATTCATCCATACTGTCAAAAGTCACAGGATTTCCTGCTTTTTTTAAGGTTAAATAATATTCTGTGTATGAGGGTGTGTGTCTGTGTTTGTATATATAGTGGTAAATGGGATATATAGAGAAGATATATCACATATATGGCATATATTCTTTATTCATTAATCCATAAATTAACACTTAGAATAAGACTTATTATAAGCAATCAGTTCATGTAATTAATGAGGCTAAGAAGTCCTATGATCTACCATATGGGGATCCAGGAAAGCTAGTGGTATAAATCTCAGAGTCTGAGTCCAAATCCCTGAAAAGATGTATAAATCCCAGTTCAAAGAGGAGAGCAGTGAGGTCTCAGCTCTTGTAGTACAGCTAAGAGACAGAGAATTCAACAGTCTTTTGCCTTTTTGTTTTGAGCCAGCAACAAGTTGTGTGATACCCATCTACCTTGGAAGGTATATCTAATTTATTCAGTCCAGCAATTCCAATGCATCTCTCCTAGAAAGACTATCAAATACAAACTGAGAAAGAATGCTTAATAGCTATCTGGAAATCCTGTGGTTGACATATAAAACTAAACATCAGCTGGGCACATAGCACACACCTGTAATCCCAGCAGCTCAGTAGGCTGAGGAGAATAAAAGCGAGGTGCTAAGCAACTCAGAGAAACTCTTTCTCTAAATAAACAAAATAGGGTTGGGGATGTGGCTCAGTGGTCAAGGGCCCATGAGTTCAATCCCCAGTATTAAACACACACACACACACACACACACACACACACACAAATATCTCACCTCCATAACTTTACATCCTCCACTCATTGGGTTATTTCCTCCTGCTTATTTACTTTCATCATCTTTCTTCTATCTACCTTCTTATAGACAATACTGCTTCTTTGATCCAGACAAAAGAGGCCCCTGACCTGGCTCTCCAGCTGTGCTTCCCTAATACAGTAGGCCTTCCTGAATGTGCCCAACCCCTCTTTTCCACCATATACATAGAAGTCATTATCCTGAAATTCTCTACTCAAAACAGTTCCAAACACATGTTTGAGATCTGTACAAGCCTTAGTGCTCACCTTTCCTCTCATGAGCACTCTTGGCTACCAGAGTGGGTACCCCTAGGCCTGAGGTATGGCACATGACTGTATTCAAATCAAATAGATACAGACTTCAGGGTATCTCCTTTAAAAATATTTGTGCTAGACACTTCTTCCCACCATCCTCTTCTTTCCCATGGCAATCTAACAGCAACTCTAAAAAAAATCTTAGGGGCCACATATGCCTTACAGTAAAACCCATCCTTGTAGCCTTGGGCTATTCAATTCCTAAACAATAAGACCTCTTATAACTAAGAACAAGAGATCATAGTGAAGATGGGTTTAAATGTAGAAATATTTGAAGGCATCGAGGTAGAAGGATCTAAAGTTCTATTTGCTCTTTAATTTAGTAGATATTTATGCTTGTTCAAGTTTCAAATAGAATTTGACTTGGAAGTTTATTTTGTTGTCTTAAAGAATAAAATTAAATTAAATCTTATTTAAGCCACTGTATGTCATGGCTTGTGTTGCAGAGCTTTGGCCTAGTTCCCTAATAATGTCATTTCTCTAATCTTGCACTCTTCCATATCTTTTACATTGTTGCCATAGTGAACAATGTAACACAAAAATATCCCAGCTTAAAACTCCTCCTTGCATTCCTGCTTCTTGGGACAATGACATTGATGCAGACAAGGTGAAATGATTCATGAAAATGAACAGTCCCAAACTGGTTGAATCTGGACGTTTAGAAGACCTTTATTTCTAAGAGTGGCTATGTTCCTGTCTGGCATATGAACATTTGAGAGCCACTGACCTTTGCCTTGCCTCCCACTTTGCTTCCTTTCAACACCATCCGCTCCAGTACTGCTGAATTACTTGGAATTTTCTGAACACAGACCGGTGTTCCATCACTTCCATGACTTTAAGTTACTTCTCCCTCAGGCAAGGATGCCCTTGACCTCTGTTCCCACTTTCTTTCTAACTACTCTCTCCTCTTTTGATATTCCACTCATTCTGTCTTGAGGGCCTCCATTAGGATTAGCAAACCCACACACACATCCACTTGGGTCCTCATTCAATGCTGCCAGGACCACTGTAATAGTATGTAAAATATTTTATTATAATTTTATTCCAATTATCTTTGCTTCCTCCAAGTAGTCAGCTTCTTGAGCACAAAGACCAGATAATATTTCTCCTCTATGCAACATCTTATTAGTGTTTGTCAAACAAGAAAAGAAATAAAAATCTAGTTATTCTGTTAGTCCATGAGTTTTCTTGAAGAACAA